ATATAGTCAATTAAGAAAATCAGAATAGTCGACTAGATAGCTAGCCTAAGAACTAGAAGTAGGTACGTAAGTTTTTTACTATAACCTAAATATTGTTATTATTTTTTTTTTTTTTTTGGCATTACATACCTTGCAGATCTTTTGCCGCCTTAACAAGCCTGCTCCATCTCTGCCTGACTTAAGCTATTTCTTTCCAGTTATCTGCACGCTTTATTACATCTTTTTTAGTTCTATCAATCCATCTGCTTTTTGTCCTTCCACCTGGTCTCATGCCTTATATTTAGCCATTCGTTGTTACGTAGAAGCTTTCAGATGGATTGCTTCGAACTACATGCCCTGCCTTCATATCATTAGATTGACCAATTTTTATAATTAGTCCTTTAACGGTCCTTCTTCTCCATGTACCAGTACTCTGATCTCAGTTCGCTCAGATATTTTTTTCTCAAGTCTTCCAATACTTTTGGTTTATTATTTTCAATAATGAACCATTGTGATCGACCGGAAAATTCAAAAACTTAACTCCCTCTCAAAATTTGAGGGTACGTAGAATTCGAAAAACGAATAAAAATTTGCCATGGGCGAAATAACAAAAAAATCCATTTACAATTAGTATAACAACTTTTAACTTAACTATGGTAGGCAATGAAAATCTCGTAACTTTATTTTAGTAAACTTAATTATGGAAAAGTAAGAGTTTAATAGTAATACAATCCATAACCATTTATAGGTGAAATATAAAGATTTAATTTCAAATATCCTTAGAGATATATGGTTCAGAGGCTGGAGTTATGTGGCTATGAGGTTTTTTTACGAGGTTTTTATTGGCAACCGTCGATATAATTGAGTTTGTGTTATTTTAATGATCTTAATGAGTTTTCGCTGGTTAGCTCTAGGATTAAAGGTTTAGCTTCGTTAAAAATGCACATCAAAAACTTTGAAATAACCCAATATTGTCATGAACTAATTTCTATTCGAAGAGTACAGGTAAGGCGAGAGTTTTGCAATTTGCGCGGAACTGATTTTTTAACTAGACAGCTGTGGAAAAATAATTAATAGTCTCAAAAACAAGATTAAAAAATTCTGTAGACCCTTCCTAATTTGGTTAAAAGTCTGAGATTGATGTCATTTTACAGCGTTTTAAATGTTCATTTGTATGATATATAGTATTGTAGTACAGGGTAATATAAGATTTTTTTTTTCATATGAACTTTTACACCAGAAACTTTTTTTTATTATTATTTTTTTTTTATGAATACATAGTATTGTTGTAATTATTATTTATTTGGTATTTTGTTGCCTATACCCTGTAGGGTCATTGGCAACGCCTTTAAATTACACTCTGTTGCAGAGTTTTATCACTTTCGTTAACGATTTCGTCAGGGTCAGTTATAATGTCTTGTCCACTCTTTATACCAGGCAATTTCTTTGTTTTGGAGATCCCCTTAATGATTTTCACTTAATTCCAGAGCTCCTTCATTGAAATGCTTTGATGTAATGAAGATACGAAGTCTTCCCATGACGATCTTTTGCTTTTCGGTATATATCGTAATCTTTGTAGCTCACTTTTTGAGTTTCTTGTAAGTGTATTTCTTGGAGACAAACTAGTATAGGGTTCTCTTCGCTTATTGTCATTTTTAGGTGCTCTAAATGTCGGAAAAAATCTGTTACAATTCTATTGAATGATTGTTTTCATTTTGATTGGCAAAGTGTTTCTTATTTCCCAGATTATTATTATCACCATGTGTTATTTTTAAATGCTCGGTAGTGTTGTTGTAATTAATAATAAGGTATAATTAAATATGGGATGAGAATGGCTTCATTGCTAAAAAACTTGAACACTAATGTTAGATATTCATAAACTTAACTGTCTCTCTATTATTACAATTAGGCTAATAATGACACTTTCTCCTTTTCTTATATCAGTGAAATTTCACATTATTCTTAGTTCGAAAGAGGATAACTGTGCCTAATTTCAAGATTTGCGTATTATACTATTATTTGCGTATAATTATTAGCGTAAATAGCTTCATCTCATTGTAATATACGAAAAACAAGGTGGCCTTCAAAAATATTGAAGGCCACTTTGTTTGCCCCCGTTTGCCGTGATCTGCACTCCTAAATTGTAAAAATAACAAGGTTATATAGGCCAAACGGTCCAATATTTTTGTAGACCTCCTTTTTTTTTTTATCGATATTGTGATCAAATTATCTTACGATCAAAGTAGACAGCAAATAGGTATTTACTAGTTTTTAGAACCTAATTAAATATACAAAGTTTGCCAACCTCTAGATCGAAAACGCCCCAATCCCGAGAATTTTCGTAAATAAAATATTTGTAGGTTACCATGAGATGAAGCTATGTACGAAATTTCAGCCAGGTGTTAATAATTTGATGAAAAGGGGGCCGGATCAGAGACTAAAATTATATACAAAAGTAATATTGACTTATAGCCAATATTAATGTGAATATATCAACCAGATACAACTTTAACTTATTCCTGTTTTTTTTTTTCTTTTCCCGAGTGAAACTTTTTTTAATTTTATTTCATACATAATAGTTAAACTTACACAAGAGTTACAAAGCGTCACAGAGTGGAAATTGTCCCTTGTTTTGTAACCGTTCTTATGTAAATGAAACCGCATTGAAAAGTGACCGAAGGTACGTGATAAGGTAACGGGTCCATACCTTAATTTACATATTTATTTTTTATTTATCTTTTATAACAGTTGAAATAGGCCGACTAGTTACCCTTAACCAGGATATGTATTATTTATTTAAACAGTTTCTACAGTAACAATACAGGGCACTAGCGGATCCAGGAACTCATTTGGGGGGGGGATTCAGACCGAAAGATTTTTTTTTCATATACATATAACGATAATTAATTAGAAAAAAAAGAAAGAGATTAACTACCTTTATGAAATGGTGTTTAAATGGTTCATGAAGTCCTATTAAATGTCATTACACGAACAAGAATAGTTTAAGAGATAGTTTTTAATATTTTTTTATGTAAAACATGATTATATTTTACCATTTTGGGGGAGGGCTTCAACCCGAAAGCTCCCCCCACTTGTAGAACCGCCTTTGATACAGAGTGTCCTGTAATTAGATGAAAATATTTAACTTCTATTGTGCGGTCGTATTGCACAAACTATAGTTCTTTTTTTTTTTTTTTGAGTTAAGCTTTTGTTTTCGAGATCTTAAAAATAAAAAACGAAAAATAATTATATATTTTAAACATTTATTTACTCATTTTGTTTGATGAATAATTTCTTCATGTAACTCCAATATGATATGCCACAACGGCGCGAGTTCGATTCCTGCATAGGAGACACCCAGAGATTCACAGGAAGGTGAGCGACCTCTTTGTCTTACACCATAGCTCCTTCAGGTTGGGTATTGGGTATAGGGTTGATCATCCCATATCCCATAAAAAACTGGATGTAGATGCTGCAAAAGATTGCCAACCATCATTCAGAAAAGTGCCTGATGTAAAGGGAGTGAATTGTGATCGCGTTCGGTTAGTTATACCACATGCTCCCTAGATATCTTGAAGAAGAGAACCGAACGATCACTACTGCCACCCATAACAGCTCCAAAAAAATGTTAGAAGACTCATATCGAAAAGTCGAAGCCATGAGGCGTAAGAAAAAAATATATATAATTATGTCAATATATTTTTACTGTATGGAATTGGATAATGTATGGAACGGAGACAATATTATTTCTCAGTTTGGAGAAACTGCTTAAAATAGAAAAAAGGATTCTAAGAAGAATCCATGGGCCCAAAACAACACCAGAAGGATACAGACTGAAATCCAATAAGGAGACTTACAGTGAAACCTTTGATTTGGAAACGGAAATGAGGGTAAGAATACTTAGGTTTTATTGACACTTGACAAGGATGACCGAGGTTAGTGTTAAACAAGAAGATTTTCAGTAGGGTTATGGGATACAAGTTTAACCACGGATATACGGTACAAATAAAACAGGAAATACAGTTGCTTGGGATGACACGTTAATTATGTGAGGATAGGACCGAATACAAGAAATTCCTGAAAAGTGCGGTGCATGTGGTGGAAGGAACTTCGGTCCAGGAGAAAGTGGACGGAGGAGAGGAAGAAAAAAATTAGCGATATCCTCAAGCAGAGATGGGCAGAAATGAAGAAATTGAAAAAGAAACCAGTAATCATAGTCGCGTAGTCCTTCAGGGCTGTTTCGCGTCAAATAATAATAATAATATATAAATATATATATATATATATATATATATATATATATATATATATATATATATATATATATATATATATATATATATATATATATATATATATATATATAATTATAATTGGGTATAAGATCACTTATGAATTATTCAATAAACTACTAAATATTTATTGCTTCTGTGTTTATTCGACGTTTTTATCCCGTTTATTTAAAAGTTAACAATGGGATCCTCTTCAAAGTTTTAAAATAGAGTCTCGATACCTCAGGGCAGGGACACACCGACAGTCTCAGCACCGTCCCCCAGCACATATGTTAAGCTACTGTGCTAAATTATAAAGAATAGCTACAAATGTAACCTACAAATATTTTATTTACGAACACTCTTGAAATTGGGGCGTTTTTAATCAGGAGGTCGGCAAACTATTTAATTAGATACTAAAAACTCGTAAATACCCATTTGCTTTCCACTAGGATCATTAGATAATTTGATCACGATATCGAGAAACAATGTAGCGTAGAAAAACATTAGCCCGTTTGTTATGTATCGTTATTTTGACATTTTGTTAGTGTAGGTTTTTCTTTCGCTTTTATTTCGTGCTCAAATTTACGGTTCAAGTGGAAAGCCAATGGGTATTTATAAGTTTTTAGTACGTAATTAAATAAACAAATTTTGCTTGTCTTCAGATTTAAAACATCCCGATTCCGAGAATTTTCGTACATAAAATAGTTGTATGTAACTATGAGAAGAAGCTCTTTACGAAGTTCAGGCTGATGTTAATGATTTTTATTAAAAAGGGGTCTGTACCACGGAATATTGTTGATACTTGTCTTACACATTATGACGTCTTTTTTTGAATCCTCTGACGTCCAGAACGGTCAAACGGTCAGTCTTGACTTGGACGTTTGATTTCTAGAGTGCAAAAGACGAAGAGCTAAGTGAATGGGGCACCTGAAGAGCTGAAGAGGAAGATCGTAAAAAAGACACATCGCGATGGTACTTTATGGGACGTGTTCCATCTGGCTAGGAGGACGCTTCTCCATTAGCTTCCAAGGGCGGTCTCTTTGTCCTCCGCCTTCTTAGTCCTTATTCTTTCTCTAACTAATCCTTCTTCCTTTTGCCACTTCGTCCTCATCACTCCGGTTATTTCAGTTCCATTCTTCAGCTGATATTTAAATGAAACGCCTAATTCTTGTTCTTCCAACTTCACATTTCTGCAACTGTCCATTTCCTAAATTTATGGCTTTAAGAAGGAACTCTCTTATCTTCTCTTTATGGTTTCCAATATCTAAAACCAGTAACAGGATATCATTATTAATTTTATTTTTCTTCTATGTATTTCTGCTAAACAGCTGTTCAATATAACTTTCCTTAGATGTGTTAATATAACCTTCTGTTTCTTTCAATATATATTTAAATGGCTTCGTGAGATCTCTGCAACAATATCTTTTTTTTTCTGCTCCTTGTTTTTTTATTTATGCGTACATGTGATCTTGGCGAAACGTTTACAATTGAACTATTCACTTGTTGGAGACTAATGGCATTGTAGTTTGGACTTTCCCATTTATAATTACCATATGTCTCTTTTCGAGCTTTATACTTATTTTAGTTTTATTAATAATTATATTAATTTTCATAATTATATTTTATCACTTTCTGTTTTCGGGACTATTAAAAAATGTATCGTCTGCTTATTGCAAAAAGTCATTCACATTTTATAAAATTGAATCCATGAGTGATTTGATGAATTTTAATTAATTGAATTATTTCGAATATTTGATTTAAAAGAATTGTGGTGTCATTTCGGTGCGCCTACTAGGTTTTTGTATCACTATGGTTGAAAATTAAAAAAAAAAACTTTTAGTTCCATTAAAAATGTGCTACAAGGAAAAGTTATGGACGCAGACCACTGATATCAATGAAACTTTTTTTACTGATACTGGCTTGAAAAATATTAGGCTTACGTCCGAGGATTCAAGCCACGTTCAGGCGGTTTTGCAGATATCAAAACAAAACAATAACTAAAATTATGATGACGATTTTCTCTATTTTTTTTTTGTCCTCATGATGTATTTTTCAAGTAGTAGGAAAAGTTATTAAAAAAAATTGTCAACTGTAATTAATGAAATAAATAATAAATGAAAATTAACAAAAAGTGAGATATTTAGCGCTGCAATACATTAATAATGAAGTCTCAAATTTAATTTTTTTTCGTCTGTAGAACGCCCTATGTTTCTATTATTGAAATTTTAGTTTATATTGAAAGATAATTTTTAGCAACATATGCTTGGATTTTATCTCCTTATTTTTCTATTTCTTTTTTTTTTTTTTTTTTTTTTTGTTCAATGGCATTACAGCCTGATGTGGACCCTGGCTGGCCTCCTCAATGAGCCTTCGCCTTCCTTCATGACCGCGTCTTTCCTTCTTAGCTTTGGCCTTCCTCTTCCTCTCGACCGGTCCAAAATTCCCCAATAGCAGCTTCTTGGAGATTTCTTCCTTGCTGCGTGGCCTGTCCATCTCTGTCGACTTTATTAAACAAACGGCGTTAGCTTCCCCAAAGAGATCGTATACCTCCCTTATTATGATCTGATACCTCCCTTGTTATGATCTGATGCCTCCATTGTTATGAGATCGTATACCTCCTCCTCTGATTTCCTTCATTCTTAATGAAGATAAAAAGTTCTTTTTCTTCTGAACTACTAATGGCCCATATCTCAGAAGCATAGTTTAGTACCGGTCATATTTTAGTTTTATAAAGATGGTCTGATGAGAAAAAGCCTTACTGCCAAGCAGAGGTGCCCATCCTCCCTTCCCCCAAGGTCGATGAACTTACTCCCCTCCTCCCAGGATATTTTTCAGGGATTTTCTCATTATAGCGGCAATTGGCATTTTGTATTCGTTGGCTGGTCTCAAGAGATTTGAACAATACGTGAATTGGTCAACACTTTTGAATGCGAACGGTCCAATTATGCCAGACTTTTTAATCGAATAGTCCATTCCCGAACCAGCTCTTATAAATTTAGTCTTTTCTTGGTTGGTATTTAGCTTCATGTCTGCAGCTTATTTCATTGTGTTAAGAAAGGCATCTTACAAGGCTTTCAAAGGTCAAGTTACAATGTCTATATCATCTGCGTAGCCAAGCACCTGTACCATCCTATAATAAATGTTACCTGTAGATTCAGTTCCAGGCTTTCTTATTAATCTCTCTAAGGCAAGATTAATTAGTAACTAAGTTAGGGGTTGGCCATGCCTCAATCCTGTTTTAGTAATAAATTCGGGGAATAAATCCAGTTCCTTTCCATTTTTACGTGAATTTTATCACATTTCCCGCGGCAAATTTGAAGCATCAGAGAATTGAGGATTCATCTCTCTGTCTTAAACCTTTAAATAAAAATAAAAATATTTTATATATTCAATTGATTAAAGTTTTCTTTATTGAGTATTATAACAATCTGTCTGTTGGACATTGGTTATAGTGAGGTAGGATGACATTCACACCATATGTACAAAAAAATAAAATAAATAGAACAAAATAATAATCAAAAGTATATACAATAGACAATAAAATAAAATAACCTAAAGAATAAGAAAATTAAAACTAAGAAAAAAAAAACAAAAAAAAAAAACATGCATACCTATATACAATCAGGCGAGGGAACTCCAGGAGAACCCTGCGCAACTCTCCCAACCGCGTCGCTGGTACTAAAGCCAGCGGAGATTGGTCGAGAGCACTTTAGCCACATACACACATGTCTTGAGTGAAGAATCTGGCCATTGCCAGAACTCAAATTTATACAATCTACAAAAGGTCGCGAGGCCACTGCCGTTTCAACCTTCTTGGAGGATTATAGGGATGGGAGATGCTTGATAGGGATTGTGCAAGAGGATTTGGGTGGTAAGTAAGGTTCTGGTGAAATTTGGAGAATTTTTCTGGGATAAGATCTAGGACAAATGGGATGTTAAGGTCATGATGTAGGGTTTTGTTGGATACATAGAAAGGAGCATCGACTATTGATATTGATTAACGAAATTATTTTCACATATATGCGTACACAAAAAACAAAAAACTATAAACATATATATAAATTTATTTTAATATATAGTATTATACTCTGCATTTTACAGTTATTATGTTTTGTTTTATATCTGGTTGCCGGGAAATGTCGGTGCTGTGCATGTGCGTTAGCCCACTCCGCCTTTACTATACTTATGTTGAGTATGTTAATTGCCTCTCATAATTTTGATTAATTATTTTCAATAATGAACCATTGTCATCGACCGAAAAATTCAAAATTTGAGGTTTCCATTTTTCTGTCTCAAAAAATTTTGTCCCTCCGCCGGACGCCATATTTAAAAGTTTATGGAATTTCCTAAAAAAATAATCGTTAAAATCGGACAATTAAGAGCAAAGATATGGTCTTCGGTTTTTTTTATATGTTCTACTCCAAATGTTATATCCTTGGTTTGGTTTTTAAATTTTGAATGTGTTACTGAACTAATGCTATTTTTTTTTTTAGCATATTACTAATGATTAAAGAAAAACAGTTTAGTCCAATAACTGGAATCACCCTATTGTTTTTTTTTTTCTTTGTAACTCGGAAGGTGATGTTACTTTAGATGTGTAATTGTTTGGAAATAATAAACCATTGTAAAATAATTTGCAGCGTTTTTATACCTAATATGAACTTCGAAGACATTTTTTGGAAGAGGAGAGGGATTCGATCGTCTTCTCCCCTCCCCTCCCCTCAACTTTAGAATAGAAAGTTTGCACCTATTTCCTTAACAGTATTTAATTTTAGTTAATTTATCGTTTCTGGCAATAACTAAGTCAAAATGCACCTTCTTGCTAACAAATCATGCGACTCCATACCCTCTTGTTCTGGAGGACACCAGACGAGCGGAGGTTGGGCAACAGGTAGCAGTGAGCGGTGCCGAGTATGAAAACGTTTGCGGTGGTGGAAGGCCGCCCCCTAGCCGAACTGAACGGCTACGTGACTTGGCTACGGCTCTAGGATCCTGTGCTTACAGCCTTCTATCCTGGAGGTCTCGTCTGCGTATTAACTAGCCGTCCAGCGAGGGTTAAGTTTAAGTGAGAACCATCGGGGTTCAAGTGCAGTTATTGAAAATGTATAGTCAAGTGCATGGCTGATGTGGAAATTTTTCAATCTACTTCGTAGTTAAGAACTACTACCACCTGTTCTGTCTACCCAGTGCTGCTTCAAGGCAGCCAGTCACTTAACCTCCAAACAAATGTAAACATGGCTTTGGAAGTAAAAGGATACAAGCCACAGTTGGGCAAAGTTAAAAAAAACAAGTAAAAAATCTGGTGCGCCCAACACACAACTTTCACTTGCCGTTCTACTTTGAATAGGAATTATTTTCTGACAATGCTGGGCTATAATAAAATTTTAAGTGCATTTTAAACGGAGCTAAAGCTTACAGATAACAAGTCATTAAGACCATTATAATTACAAAATGTCTATTTAATATATCGACGGTAGGCAATAAAAATCTAGTCACTCCATCTGCTTTTATAAACCACACAACTTTCTATGCTTTTATAAACCACAGAATGACTAACTCCAATTTCAACAATTTTGAGTAATGTTAATTTAGTGATATTTTTAGTTGAAAAAGTTATCTATGCAGACAGTGAGTAAGTTGATTATGGAGGTGGTGATTGTAGTGTTGAAATATAGAACTGAGAATAAAGGTATACATTTAGGTACTTATTTATTATTAAAGATGTTCTGAGGTAAGATAATTTATTTAATATCTGAAGAAAAACAATTTTTTTTAGTCTCAACAATTAAAAAAGTATATTTATACAAATTTTCGCCTCTTCAGAGGAAAAACCTAGAGACCATATCTTTCCTCCTAATTGTCCAATTTTAACGCATTTTTTTTTTTTTTTTTTTTTTTTAGGCAACTCCATAAAATTTTAAAAAACCATATACAATATCCACAAAAAAGTGTATTTTTGCATTTTTCGGGACTTGGTCATTTCGACTCAGGGTACCTCAAAACGTATAAATCCGTCGAAAACTCAGATTCAAAAATTTTCACGATCGCAATACTTACCCTTACTATATATTACATATATACGTAAGTGAAAGTAAAAAACGCTGGAAATTATTTCACAATAGTTTATTATTTCCCAACAATTATATATCTAAAATAACATTACATTTCTAGTGACAAATTAAAAGATATAAAAAGTTAATTCCAAGTATTTGGGTAAACATTTTTTTTTTCATCATTAGTAATTTGCTAAAAAAAAAAATTCAGAAACACATTCAAAAACCAAAACCAAGGATTTGCAGTAGAACAAAAAAAAAATCTAGAGACCATATCTTTGCTTCTAATTAGCCGATTTTAACGATTTTTTTTAGGGTATTTTGTTAACTTTTAATATTGACATAAAAGTGTCTACTTTTTGAGTTATTAAGAATCTTATTTTACCATCCCTTGTAACTTTTTTTCCAGCTTCTTTTCGTTGAAGTATGTTATATAGATAAATTTACAGGGCAGCAAGAAGAAGTCATTAGCCAAGTTTCATTGAAATCAGTACGTTCGTTTAGGTGCTACAGTCTATAGCAACGCATGTTTTTCTTCCACCATTTTGAAAGTAAAAGGCCGATAATAATGTCGATGAAAGAAGATCACTCTCAGGTGACCTCTGATTATAATTTTTTAAATTTTTTTTATTGTTTTAATGGAATTTACAACTGTATTATATAGAAAATACAATAAGTAAATGTGAAATTGGTAACATGACATGTACAACATGAAGAGAAACTACCCATTGGTAGAACTCAAATATTATAAATTTAAATTCGAAAAAATCGATCCAGTATTTTCGAAGAAAATTCGCGGACGGCGGACGGTCAAAAATTGTTTATTCGTTTTTCGAATTCTACCAGGATACGTAAAATATCCTGAAACGTAAAACTTCAAATTTTGAGAGGGGGTTAAGTTTTTGAGTTTTTTGTTCGATTGCAATCGTTCATTATTTAAAATAATAAACCAAAAAGAACAAGAAGTTCACTGAGGTTTTATTTTCTTCTTATTTTTAATTAAAGAAAAAAAAATTAAGGGAAATAGTGGAAAACGTGAAAAAACATTCTTACGTGCGGAAATTTTGACGAAATTTACTAAAGTTAGAAGTTCCGCCTGGGAACCAACTCTGTATACCGAATTTCTGCTAATTTGGTCCAACGGGACCGTTGGATAAGCCGAAATATGGTGAGAAAACTACATAGATCGATAGATAGATAGAAAATAATTTTATTCTGGGACAAAGTCTCTTGAGAATAACAAAATTAAAAGATTACATCTGGCCTAAATAAAATCAATAGAAAAACAGTAATATTGTAAAGAAAATATAAGATAAACATTGTATATACAAAACAAACGAAACTATATACAAACAAGTAACACCATGACAAGACACTTAAAGCTATTTGCAGGGATAGCCCAGTATACACTTTTAAGAAAACAATATGGAAAAAAAAAAA